GGGTAGACGGCTTCAAGCAGAGCTCGACCCCAATCGCCCGACCAACAAGTTCGCCAAACAATCGAGTCGCATCCCGCCCCAAGAACAGCACCACGGCTCCACCACCGCACCACAGAGAGGCCACTAACCGGAATTGACAAAATGACGCCGGAATAGACGGAGCCCTTCCGTGACTGACGAGACCCGACTCCATGGATGCGGAAGGCGGAGCGGAAAATTAGGGGCGGGAGCCAAGCATCCAAGGTCAGTGACCGCCAGCGAAGCACGATTGCCACTAGGGAGGGCAGACGACTTCAGATCGGAGAAAGCGACGACGAGAGTTTTTTGGGGGCGAGGGTTTTTTTTCTTCAAATCAAAAATTACTTATGAGCTTATTGCAAATAACAATGCTCTAAAAGCCATTAGGTGTCCGTGAGGTGGTGGGCTGGGGTCTAGCGTTTAGGCGGGGACTATGTAGAGCTTAGGCGTGGTCGTAAAAGTATTAATAAATTTTTAATATTTATCATCATGCATAATTTATAAGATATATTATATGAAATGTATTATTTAATAAAGTTAAATAAAAATATTATGCAAAATTTGATGCAATTATAATTATTCATTAGTTTTAATATGATTGTTAATACTATTTATTATATAATTAATATATATTTTCATGGAAATGCTATGGAGCCAACCCTTGGCTCCGTTATGGAGCCAACTTGATTGAAAAACGGATGAGAATTCATTTTTCAGTCAAGTTGGCTCCATAATGGAGCCAACGGTTGACTCCATAGCAGGACTGTATATTTTCACGCATCCACATGCTTAATTTTTTTATTACTTTGAAAAATAAAATTAAAAAAACAAAAAAAAAAAAAAAANAAAAACCGGCGCCTAGACATGACCATGACCATCTAGGTGCCATAGGCTGCCTAGTCGATGTGAGTAACTTTCTAACTCTTTAGTTTGTCTAGACGCCGCCTAATTCTTTGAGTACCTAAAATGACCGCCTAAACAAAAATGTAGTGCTTAGCATCGCCTAAGCTGATTAATATAGAGGCAAATAATGGCGAGACAAAATATTTCAAAGATCCCAATGTATGTCTTTAGGAATAAAGAAGTGAATGAAAGAAGCTAAAGTTGACTAATAAAAAAAACCATATAAAACAAAACAAACTTGTAATTAAGAGGCGACCTTACGACCATTCCTAGATACTCACATTATTAATAAAAAATTCATGTCCACGTTTGATAAAATCTTAATAAACTAAAGGAACATTTGATACTGTTTATAAGAAGAAAAAAACATTACTAAATAAAAGAAAAGCTGATAAGTTTATTCTTATCACATAAACAAGCTATTCTAATAAAAACAAGAAAAAAAATATTAACTTCCAGTAAAGCTCCAACATACCTAAGCATGTACATTTTCATATGTTGCTACTTTCTATGCTAGTTGACAACACAATTTTTTTTTTTTTTCCATTAAATATAGGTTTGCTACAGAAAAATCGGATTTTTTTTTTTCTTTATCTTTCTTTTTATTTTTTCCCACCTAAATAACATGTGTCGCCCTGAAGACGAGTTGGACCATAAGTTCAATTTAGTTTTATTATAAGGCACAAGATAAGATGGCCGCACTTAGCACTTCATGTGGACCAACTTCACCTTTCCTCTCTTATAAGTTACTATATAAATGAAAGGAAAAATAATAAAGAAAATGTTGGAAAATAAGTTATAAAAACTTTGAGTTTGGCCGAGCTTTGACTGATTTTTCTAAAGTTAAATATTTAATTCAAGTTGAATTAAATTGTAAAAATATTCTACGTTCCGAGTAGATACTTGTGGTCTATTTATTTTCTCTAAATTGATTTTCGATTAGTGAGAAATAAATGATTAAAATTAGTTATTAATGGGTACGTAAAACATTGATTGTGAGAATTAAATGGTCAGAGTCCTTCTCACAACTCATAAAAAGAGCTGTAGAGGTTACAGCAATAACAACAAAGTTATACATCAAGTGTTAGTAATGACTTTGGCCACAAGCGCGCGCCCCCGCCGACTAGCTCGGCTCGGGCATGGCATGGGTCTGGACCTGAGCCTCGGACTTTGGCCGTGGTACTTGGTTATAAATAGGACATAATAGAGCTGCAGAACAGACACAATACATACATTTGCATCTCACTAATCATATCATACACTAATAGTGAAATAAGTTTCACTCGGTCTTTACTCGAGCTAATACAAAAGGATTTGCTTTCCTCTACCTCGAACGGCTTCCGGACCTACAAGAACTCTACACCGGAAGGCAGTTTTCCGGTGAAAAAACTCCGATGCCGAAGTCAGTACAAGGTCGGAGACGATGAACAATAAATGGATAGATGAAGTGTGTGTAGAGAATGTAAAAACGTGAACCTACCACACCCCTTTATATAGGGGTGTGATGTCTTGTTTTCTCCAAGTCTTCCCGGAGAGTTGACCCTACTGCCCAAGTTGCCCGTCCATACGAGCTGCAATGCTTCAAACTGTCAGATTTGTCAGGTATGCAGGTGACTCAATCTTGTCGCGATACGTGGTCCAATCCTCATACGGCGTTGTTTCCCAGTTAGGTGCCTTCTTGTCCTGAAGTAGGACTAGGTCCATGTCACTAGGTAGAACATCTACTTTCCCAGCTCTTCTACTACTCATTAGGTCGAATCGACCTCGTATCCAATTACAGGTCGAGCTCTGACTACAGCTCGATCTACTCCTTTATTCGGTCTAACTGTTTGGTTTCACTGGTCCGGTCGAACCGGTATGGTATCCCATATCATATACAATTCTCAGTTCTTAACTTTGCTCGTGTTTGCCGGAGCTCTGAAGTTTGGGGTGCTACAGCTTTCGAGCCACTAGTCGTTGTATCTTTGGGGACAAACACACAGACTCGTTAGCACTATACCACTAGTTATATCATATACGGTTCTCAGTTCTTAACTCTGTAAATGTTCGTCGGAGCTCTGAAGCCTGGTGTGCTATAGTTTTCGAGCCGCTAGTTGTTTTATCTTTTGGAACAAGACGTACAGACTCATTATAAGGGACGTATTTGTCTTGCGAAAAAAATTTACTCAACTTTAATCTTTCTGCTTTCAAGTTGTACTTTGTTTCTAGCACTACAAAAAAATTATTATATTCCAACAGAAAATCTTATGGTAATATATTCTAATAGAAATTCCAACGGATATTCCAATGGTATAGCTTCCGTTGGAATGATTCCAACGGAAATTCCAACGAAAATCTTCTGTTGGAATGTATTTTTCATTGGAATTTTAGATGGAATTTGATGATTCCAACGGCTTTTCACCGTAAGAATTTTCATTGGAATATGCAATTTCCGTTGGAATTTTTATTTGTACCACCGTTGAAAAATCTACCGTTGGAATCGTCAAAATCCAACGGAAATTCCAATAGAAAATTCATTCCAACGGAATATTTTTGTTGGAATTTCCGTTGGAATTATTCCAACGGAAATAATAGCATTGAAATATCCATTGGAATTGCCGTTGGAATTCTATTGAAATATATTTTCATTGGAATTTCATCATTTTCTTGTAGTGTAGTTTTTATTGTACTTTGTTTTCAGTTTTTAGTTCATATTGTAATAATTGAACACTTCAGTTCACATGTTTCCCGTGTATTCAACACTCAGTTTGTAACAAGAAATGTCCAAATTCATTAATATTTTTTTCTCACTTTGTAATTTGATATTAATTAAGATTGTAAACATTGATAGGCTCAATTGATATTATTGAAGCTGTTGTTAGTAAAACTCATTTAGATATGAAAAACTCGTTTTGATATGCATGCTTTTTTGATACATTTGTATCCATTTAAAATATTTCACATACACTACAAGTTTGTTTATGGAAACCTTATGGTGACCAAGTTATATTTGGACTCACTGTTCCATTCATAAACTATAAGTATAATCTCGATTTTATTGATTTCTTTCAGAAAATAAGCGATGGTTTAGTTG